AATTTCTGTAATAAAATAAAATCTGCGTGTTTCTTTGCAGATTCTGAGCCGTTTGGTGGATGGAAGCAGATTCCAGGAATTCAAGGCTAATTTTGGAACAACATTAGTAACAGGATTTGGCCATGTGGAAGGGTAAGGCTGTGAACATTCACAATGAATGGACACACGTGTCTGAACAGCTTTTGGATCACCGTCAGGTTTTACACCATTTCAATAATATCTAGGGTTCAAAAGCGAAAAGAAATGGTTAAGGTTGGAAAAGACCTCTAAGATGATCGAGTCCAACTGTCCACGTGTCTTGTTCTGTAGGTACTTGGTGGGGATAGTGGCCAACAACGGGGAGCTGGCTCATGATGCTGCGCTCAAGGGCAGCCACTTTGTCCAGCTCTGTGGCCAACGGGGAATTCCCATCGTCTTCCTCCAAAATACACCTCCACAGCCAGCAGAGCCAACAAGCATCTCACAGGTATGGCATATTTGCTTCCATATACTTAAGCAATTCCTAGTTCTTCTTGTGCCTAAAGTTACCTTTTCACAGTTATTAAGTGTTAGGAAAATTGGGGTTTTTTTAAACCACTCTTAATGGTTTAAATCATGAAGCTTCATAATGACTTTGTTTTTAAATCTCTCCATTCTCTCTTGAATTTTAAGCAGGTTTGTATGCCTATACAAAATTATAGTGCTCAGCTGGCAATGTAGGCTGTAAAACCTGGAATTTAAATGTGCTTTTTACTTTGAAATACAGTTTATTGATTCTTCTGACACCACTGCACTCCAGAAAATTAGCTATTTCTCTTTTATAAAAGTGTAGACATTAAAGTACAGTAGGTTTTGTGCTGAGCTAGGGGAAGCCTCATAGTAAAACCTCCACTAGATTCCCAGATCTGCTTCTGCAGCCTTGTTCCTCCCAAGGTTACCAGCCCTTAGACAAAACCTGGCACAAATGAGTTGCTCAGTGCTGGAGGCATTTGCACCTGGTTGTAATTGCTGTGCTGATTTAAGTATTAAAATAAGTGCACAATAGGCTTATGAGTTAGTGATATGAGTTATTTATGATATGTATGAGTTAATGATACCAGTCAGTTAATGATGCTGCTTTTCTGTTGTGGAAGAAATGATCACATAGAATTGTAAATAATATATGTTTAGAAATACAAGTTTGGTGGGGGCAGAGGGGATCTAGAATAAAGTCTTAAAGGATCTAAAATGTCTCTTTTTATTCCAGGCAGAGGCTCATTCCAACAGGCTGAAAGCCCAGGCTTCCATGATGGCTGCTGTTGCTTGTGCTGCTGTTCCCAAAATCACCATCGTCATCGGGGGCTGTTACGGAAGTGACAGCTACGTCATGGTAGGGGTGGGATCAGCCCAAGGGCTTGGGACACACCTTTCACACTGTGCTAAAACTTCACAGCCCTGCAGTTTTAAAACAGTCAGTTACCTCAATCTCTGAACTGCTTTTTAAGAAATGCAGCACAGGACATGGTTACTGAAAATTAAACATGTAAGAATGAAACATTTAAGTCCTTGGAGTTAAAACTCAAATACCAAAACAGCAGTATTGAAGGCAGTGGGGATGGTGGTGGTTCCTACCGCTGGGTGTCTGCGCTGATACAGGAGCTGTCATTAATGCTTTACAAATTCAAGGGTATTCCATTCTGCCTTGATCTTCTTTGTGCCATCCACAGACACCTTTTGTGATTGACTTCAGTGAGTTTCATTGTGCTTTTGTTTTTTCTTTGTAGTGTGGGAGATCCTTCAGTCCAAACTTTCTGTTCCTGTGGCCTAATGCAAGAATTGCTCTTGTGGATTCAAGAAGTTTCTCCACAGTCCCCCGAGCTGGGGACAGTGACTGTACAGATGAATCAGAGCTGAAACAGCTGAAGGCAAAGTAAGGACATTATTGCCTATTTTTGTTCATCTTACAGAGCAACACATCTCAAACTAATACAGCAAACCTGAACCTGCTGAAAAATATTTTAAATT